AGGTAAGTTGTTTGTCTATATAAATAAATAAAATTGAAGTGTCTGTTTGTAATGTAGAAATAATAGCTTTTTACTAAATGCGTATGAAATTATATACAGTACTAATAAAATAACGTAATTTTTTAAATTTTTGTCTGTCTGTCTGATTGTTCCAGTTAATCACGAAAATGGCTGAACTGATTTTGATGGGAATTTCACTGGCAGATAGCTGATTATATAAGGAATAACTTAGGCTACTTTTATTTTAGAAAAAAAAATAGTTTCCGCTCAAAAAAATAATAATTAAAACGTACCTAGGAATGCGAGCGAAGCGAGGGTTAGTCGCTAGTTGATAATAAAATGAGTTAGTACAAATGAAGCTAACAAAAGATGCTAGATATAATTTTAAAACGTATTTCTTAAATAAAAATAACGTGTGAACGAAGTCTTATTATATGCTGAATATGTATGATATACAATAAAGTGGGATGTAGAAGAAATAGGAAGGGTAGCCTAATAAACTGGCTTTACAAAGTTTGACTTATAAATATTAACTGACTTTAATGGTTTATTTGTGTACATTTCATTTTTAAATTGTAAATTCGAAAACCTTTTTTGGCTCAGTTTGTAGTGTGTACTTGCTGTGCCAGCGGTCGCGGGTTCGGGTTCCGCTGGGAGAATTCATTTGTGTGATGAGCACGAATGCTAGCACTCCAGTCATGGGTGTCTATATTTATAATATGTATATATATTTATGTGTAGTGTATGAACTATCTGGTATCTATAACACGAGCCTCGTAGCTTACCATAGAACTAGATGGTGCTGTGTGGTAATGTCCCAACATATTTATTTATTATTTACTTGTTTATTTAACCTGAGGTTCCCTTGACATACGGTAAATATAATAATTTGGAGTTTTTTTTTCTGAAAATGTAATATTTTTATGTTGATGCGGTTTCGATGTTTGTATGATGTAAATATTTTTATAAGCTCTACAGATTACAGATAATAAAGAATTGAATGTAATATTTTATGGGCGAATGTGCTATTGATTTTCTACAGCTATACTAATTTTTCCTCCGGTTATTTCCGCATGATAGGTTTATCGATAAAAAAGGATAGGTTACATGCATTTTGAATGACACGATGTTTACGACTTTAGAAGCATATATAGGCTTGGATAAAAATTGGTTTAGATTTTTTTCACCCTTCAGTCTATTATTGTAGTGCCACTCCTATTTTTGGTTTTTCGTAATTTCACTAAGGAATTGTCTAAAGGTTCACATCAGGTACATATATATCTAATTTCGGTAATTTAGCTCTCGTGATGTCTTCGAGTAAAACAGCTGTGACATGCAGATTGATGGGCATGGCCAAATTTTAGCCCTAATTGCAAAAACGGAACCCTAAAAATACATTCACTCACAGATTTTCACTTGAACAGACAGAGCTTCACTTGGCGTTTTTCTCTTGTTTTCTCCAAAAAATTTATAAAAATGACGTTTTTTTCAGAAAAGACACATTTATGAATATACTTAAAAAGCAAAACCATATCTAAATACAAAATTTGATCCAAATCATTTACAGGATACACGAAATAAATGTATATACATACATACATACAAGAATTGCTCATTTAATATTATAAATAATGTACAGTATAATAAAAAATGCCAAAATTCAGGATGATATAATATCATTTTATTTTAAACTGCGTTCCAAAATAATCAAGATGGCCACTACCATAAATTTTTGTACTTTATTTTATTAAAAACTGCACAGTGAGAAATTCACTGAAAATTCGTAATATGAATATATTATACTACCTTTATCCCCAAAAGATAACAACAAGCCTTTGTTCGTATGAAAATGTAATATTTACATCGGAACTATGTATAGATATAATCAGAGATCAGATAATAATGAAAAGAACAGCCCTACTAAATCTGTCATTGCTAAAACAATCATATCTCAAAGAGTTAATTCTCCTTAGAGCTGTAATTCATACGACTACTTCTAAATGTCAAAGTTTGTATGTGTGTTTGTGTGTTTTTTACTTCTTAGCGCCGAAACGGCTACACAGATTTGGATGAAATTTATTGGCACATGTAAGGCATCTAGGGACGCTATCCGGCGAAGTTAAGGTAATAAAATGAGTTAGTTACCAGTGAATCTAATAAAAGTTGGAAATATTTACATGGAATTAAAAAAAACAAATTCTTTTTTGTGAATTATTGTATTTTAATAGTTATTCTGCTATTCGGAGTAAAGACGAATCCAACTAAACGATCATAAAAATCAGTCCAGCAGTTCTCGAGCTGTAAGTGTTGTAACAAACCCGACTTTTTTTATATATACCTATAAGATGTAATATACCTATAATAATAATAAAATTTTAATCTAAATATTACAAAGCAATTTAACCGCAACACTGATTTTATACACAAGTTTTAACTAATTGTGCAAAACCGCGATCTAATTTAACCGCTCTTGTAGCTGTAACCGGAATAGTGCTATAATAATTAAGGATACACTTTACACGTGTAGTAAATTGTACGAGGAAGTTATAGTTGAAAATTATGGTTAATTTTATTGAGGTTTCAATTTAACCCAGAGGTCGCACGTTTGATGCCTGTAGAGAACATTATAAAGTCTTTATAGAGATTAAAATAATAGCTGGTCAGTACTCAGATAAAAAACTATAAATTGTATATTTATAGTAGATTACATAATAATTTCTTAGATTAACGAGAGTTTGTTTGTCCTCCTTTCACGTCGAAATAGAGTGACGGTTTGGCGTGATTTCTTGTGTGGAGATAGTTGGAGGGATGGAGAGTGTCATAGTCTTCTTACGGCGGGAGATAATCTCATTCCCACAGGAAAACACGTTATACTCGTAATACAACCCCCATTATTGGTAATATTCCCCATTTATAATCCCCCATTTAGTTGATTATTTAAAAAAAATATACTCGTATATCGTGAAAGTGGTTGTTTCTTTTGTTTGTTATCTTTTACATTCGCCGCAATATTTTTGTACAGGGATAGTTGATGGTGTGGAAACGACATAGGCTACTTTCTTATACTTTTAGTCAGTTTCTAAAACTTATTTACAGATTGATCTTAAATATACATATAAGAAAACGTAGGCTGAGAGTAATATGAACTTATATACCAACGAGTGGCTTATCTAATATTATTTCTTCATTACGAGACACTCTGTAATAAAATTAGGTAAAAGGAAAACGTGTATAAATCAGAAGTGATAGATAATATTTGTGTTTATTTATTAGTATACACTCGAGGTAATTCCGACATATTATGCGTATTGCGCATATATACATTCCTCTCTCTCTCTCTCCTGCGGCTCCTTTAACATTCTTAATATAATTTTTGAAGTATTTCCTGTTTTATCTATTATATATAAATATTATGTATATATCTATCTTCATGCAAAAAATCACACTAATCACTCTTAAAGCAGGACAAACAAACAAGCAAGCAAACAAACTAACACACTTTGACGTTTATAATATTAGTATGGAAGTATGGATTATGGTGTTCTTATAATTATTCTTTTGTTTTCAATGTTTATCCTATCCGGATGTAACCGACCGGATGGACCTTGTCGTGGGTCTCATTAGTGCCTGAATCCAAGGGACGTACGGAGCAGTGAATTGCTCCTGGTAATTCTTTGATAGCAGAGTGGACTGTGAGAGTGGTCCCCTGGTTCTTGTGGAGAATGGAAAGAAATATGCCTCGGTTCTATTTAGACGGTGCAGGTTTCGTTGAGTTTTAGTGGGTACTCTCTCACCCTCTTTGATCCCCAATTTCACCCTCTTAAGGGATCATGTTCGGGATAAAAACTAACCTAACCTATGTCCTTCTTAGGGTTTCAAACTATCATCTTATCAAATTTAATCTAAATCGGTCCAGTAGTTTCGAAGCTTATTCAGTACAAGCTAACATAAAATTCTTCCTTCTTTATAATACTTATTAGTAAAATAATGTACATAATAAGTAAGGTAAGATAATGGTCAATGATTAAGATAATAATAAATATTCCTAGTAAAGGTGTTTGTAAGTCTCTTCTATAAATTATTAAGTATAATAATATTATGTTCGAGCTACGATATGATTACTCTATAACCTACTATGTCCAATTAAGATATAGAATCAAAATAAAGCTCTATATTAATTCTGTATTTCTATTCCATTCACACATAAGACCGTTCGCTCTTCTTGTCTCCTTTAAGTAATTTTTCCAATTATAGTTAACTGATTAATACTTATAATTACTAAAAATAATGTATGACTTAATTATCATTGTCTTAATATTATATTATTATTATATGCTTCTACTTATTTATGCTTCTACTTATTTAACAACTTATCTCCCTAAGCTATAGTCTTAAATTAGATAAGAGGGTCCTGTGGAAGGTTAGACGTGCGCGACACAGGGTATCCTAGTGCGTGTGTGTTAGCACTTCATTGCCAATGATTTGTTAAACAGTAATTGTTGTTAGATTAAGGAGTACAATATTTCTATCCATTTTTGTTACTACGAATTAAATGAAATATAATAAATAAATTATTAATACTAGAAATGTATGTTCTTTTTGGCTAATTTTTATAAGTCACTACGTCTCTATGGATTGCTTAGGACCAAGCTTAGATGAGATGGAATATAATAGTATTATACTAAAAATAAAATAAATTATTAATTATATAAAATAGGATTTATATGTATTATTGTAGATTCATTATTTTATTCTTTATGTTGTCATTCTGATATAAAATACTTATTTGAGTTTTCTGACGTTGTTATCTTGAGTGGAAAAAGGGCGGGAGCAGCGTTGTATTTTGTGTCATGACTTTTAAATAATGCGTGATGCGTCATTCCTTTTGGTAATGTCGTTTGAGGTGTTACTCTGACTCTACTTTACTGCCTCGGTGGTGTAGTGGCTAGCATGTACGCCTGAACACCCAGAGGTCCTGAGTTCGAGTCCCGGGTCGGGCCATGTCAGTTATTGAGTCTTTCTGTGTAGTAAGCCTCAGTAACAGCAGCAGTTGGGAAGTTGGCGGTGCTTTACCCCCGTGCCTCGGAGAGCACGTAAAGCCGTCGGTCCTGCGCCTTAACTCTGACTGGTCGTGTCGAGCAGTCGTCACACCGGAGTATGAGAGTGATAGGAATAGAGAGTGCACCTGTGTTTGCGCGTACACTTGAGCACTATAATATCTCCTGCGCAGGTGGCTAGTCTCAATGAGATTGGCCGCCTTGGCCGGAATCGGCTAGGAGAACATCATCATCATCACTCTGACTCTATATAAAATAATAAAAACTGTGTGCTGTTACACCGAATTTTACTTGGCCTACCTGACCTACTTCTGATATAGACTCGTGTTTATAGATATGGTTGAAATAGTCGATATAATTTATGTTATATTTGATTTACCTATAATATTTTTAAATAAATAATAAATAAATATGTTGGGACAATAACACACAGCACCATCTAGTTCCGTGGTATCTTCGGGATTTGTGTTATGGATACCAGATAGTTAATATACTACACATATATAACACGACTAGAGTACAAACATTTGTGTTCATCACACAAATGATTGCTCCTAGCGGGACTCGAACCCGCGAACGCTGGCATAGCAAGTAGGGTCACTATAAACTGAGGCAAACTTATCGTCAAAACATTACGTTAAATGGCCCTAAATTAGCCAATAAACCATAAAATTGAGGGTTTAGGTAATATTTAGTGAATTGCTAGTGACTTGGTTGCTCTCTGAAATAAAAGGTTGGAGCCATCTCTTAGTATCTTATTATAGACCGCATTAACATATACAATAACTGAGTATGAGTTTATATTCAAAATGCGTTCCCATTCATTTGTTATGGTTTTTCTATGGTTTTTGGATGTACATATGATAACTCTAATCTAACTTAACTCACTCCACTCCACTAACAGTGAGACATTGATGACACAGGAATGGATTATTTAAACATATAATAAAATAATTATAACTGATCGTTGTCTTTATATTGAAGATATTTGAGAAAAACTATTATTGGGGGTCTTTATTAACGCAATAGAACTCAAAAAAATGTTTTTTTTTTCGTCTGTATGCCTGTATGTTTGTGTGTGCTAATCTCAGCAACAGCTTAACCGATTTGGGTGCAGTTTTCACTAATGTATTGCGGTAAGCTTTACTTAATACATAATATTTGATTTATTCCAATCAATTCATAAATAAAAAAGTTATGTCAATTTGAAGAATTTCCTAGGGACGAACCAGAGTGAAGCGAGGGTGGGTCGCTAGTTAATTGATACATATACACATAGACATTAGAAAACTTACTAAAATCGCTTATCTGACAGTTACTTATCTATCACTAAATATCCATAATTCCTTATGATCTTTTCAACAGAGATTCTTAATATCCACCGTCGACGTTAAAATGTATCAAACTACTTCATCTTTGCTTCGTTAAAGAAGATTAATAAATTTAAAATAGTAAAATGTACTTAACCGCGATAAAAATCGGAAAGATAATTTAAATCAATTGTATCTTAGAAGACGTCAGAAATACGTAAAAATCGTTAAAATAGAAAATCACATTTGATTCGCAAGCTTATAATCGAAACATGAGTGACTCATACGTAATTTTAGACTTTTTATATACTAGCGGCTCACCCTCGCTTCGCTCAAATTCGCCTCTAGAAAAACAAAAACAAATCTATCCCACGGGAACCGTACATTTTTTTGGGATAAAAAACCTATATGGTATTCCAGACTATCTCTGTGCTAAACATCCAGATCCGTTCAACCGTTCTGGCGTGATTGAGTAACAAACATCCAAACATCTAAACTTTCACATTTATAATATTAGTAAGATTTATTTCTGCCTACCTAAATGTAATCATATTATTATATACTTTACAAATGATTTCTTCACTGTATTTTAACTAACTGGAATGGACTTCTCGAGCTACAAATGTTACTTGTCTAGACCAATGAATAATCCCACTGCTGGGCACGGGCTGCCTTTCAATGCGGCGCGGATCAGGTCATCGTCCACCACGCTGACCAAATGCGAGTTGGCGGACTTCACGTCGGTTTCTATTAACAAAACACATTAACTAATTTAAAAAAAAACCTTGACCAATAGTCGGGGAGCCCAAGAGAGGTTTTCTAGATTCGGATTTCGGCAGATTAACATAAGGGGGAATACCTGGCATTCTGTTGAGTCCTTCAACCATATATAAGTCCTCTACATAAGTAAGTACATAGTATAATATTTAAAAAATATTTTGATAAGTTAAAAATACTTGAAACCGTCATATTAAGGTATGGTAGGCTAATTGCATCCTGAAATGAGTGCAAATCAATAATCTGACGATTTACACAAGCCAAAAAGGCAAAAATCATTTATAAAGTTTATGTGCATGAATCCCCCTTATATTAATCTGCCGCGTTTGGATAAATCCAAAAATCCTCTCTTCGGCTCCCCTACTATAAGCATCATGAAAATAGTGTAAAAGAAGTAATAATAAACAAAGTTTAATTAACTAAGTAAAAAATTAATAAAATTTTGTCTCTCATATTTGGTCGAATATCAAAATGAAATGAACAAATTCATTTTATTATATAACTTTTGGCCATTTATGTTATATGTCTCGATACAATATCTTCGATCATATTTAGCTCAATATCTATAAAAGTCAATAGAAGTGGTAACTCAATATAAGTGCAAACTTCGTTGGTAAATGTTTAAGTTTTGTAATAATTTCTGATATTCAGATAGTTATTTCTAGATTACATTAGTATACGAAATTCTACACTAAAAATTATCCAAATTACCAAAAATATAGTAATTAATAATAAATAAATATTTGGGACATTATTTAATAACATAAACATAATTCCATGGTAAAGTATGAGGGTTTTGTTATGGATACCAGGTAATTGATACACTACACATATATTATAATTATTGATACACTACACATACAGGGTGTCCCAGAACTCAACGTCAAGCCGAAACGGGGCGACAGGATTGATTGTAACCATCATGAAAAAAAAAAATTGTACCATTTTACAATCCTGATTAAATGCGCTAACTTTAACTCTAAGACATTTTTTTTAAAGGAGGACCTTTCAAAGTCGACAAATTTTGAAAATTTTAATTTCATAGTTTAACAAATAGTCTTAATTCTAGGAAACTTGGGGCAATTGTGTCATTATTTTTGACTTTGATTCTAGAAATGTTATTTAGGGTTACGGTTCCAAAGTTTAAATGAACAAAAATAATAAAAATTAACCACAATAACCGAAAAATGATTACAGTGTGACCAAATTTTAAGGTTTTTCTTAAATGCCCATAATTTTCAAACTGCATGGGATAGATTTTTTTTCTGATTTTTTTCATGATGATTACAATCAATCCTGTCGCCCCGTTTCGGCTTGACGTTGAGTTCTGGGACACCCTGTATATTATAACTTTAAATACATACGGATAAAAAAAAGCACCCATGACTGGAGAACAGCAAGTAAGGTCACTATAAACTGAGCCAAACGTTTCGTTATGCGAAAGTTAATTACGTAAATTATAATTTTTGTACGAAATAATATAAAAATTTAATGCTTTTTAGTGTGGGTCAAAAGTAATAAAAAATAAATAAACTGACAATATATAGTGCATTATTTCAAGTGCCTGATTAAAAATTAAGCTAGTAAAAATTAAGGTAGCTGATTCAAAACCAGAAGTGGTGAATGTTATTATTGCTTATAAGTATACAGGATAGAATAAATGAGTGGGACGTGGAAGAAAACTACCTTAACTAATGAAATTATCACATTATACTCAAAATAAGCATTCTTTTATTTAAGAGATATATATATATATATATATATATATATATATATTACACATTTTTATTACATACATATACATATTTTTTTTAAACTATCGACTCATCCTCAATATTTGACATTTTAAATAAAATTATCTTTTCGGATTATTTCGCGAATTTATTTTGATTTTTGGTTCCCGACGTTTCGAATGCTTTACAGCAATCATGTTCACGGAAGAGACTAAGGTTATAGACGTCTCAAACACATACTTGTTACAGACAGTCGGAAGTCGTGAACCAAAAATCAAAATTTTATTTTGATCGTAGATAAACAAATTAAAAACGTATTATAAAGAATAGCATTTTTCCTGGTAATTTTTGATATTAAACAAGTGTTTAGTGTTTATAATAATTAAATCCGAAAAGTCAACGTCAGCTAACGCACCCGTGATGGAAAACACGCTGTATATTTATGATGCTGACGGTTGACGTGTTTTTGTTGAAAATACGACTAATCTTGTTATAATTTAAAATTCAACTGCGCAAAATTCCTGTGGTTGGATTTTATACTTAAAAATCTCAATAATATGGTATATTTTATTCACGTATATGGTATATATTATATGCATATACGTGAATAAATAAATATAGACGATACACAAATATAAGTATTATATTTATGTATCATCGTTACATATTCATGTTTTATGTAACAATTTCAAGGATTTTTTTGTGTTTAGTGAGAAAAATTACTATAATTAGATCATAGTGATAAATAAAAATGAATGAAAAGCGTGGATTTGTCGGTAAATCATGTTTATATGGAAAAGGTTAGTATACTAATTATTTGTAATTTTTTAAAAGCTTCATTTTCATAAGTTTAAGCGTTCTTTTACTTTGACAATTTGGTATTTCATATTTTCCTTTTGTTTCGTTCTGTTATGCCAAAGACGTCTAACTTCTTACGTGCGTACATAAGAACACACACGTTTTTTTTCTACAAAAACTAACTGTTACTTTGTAGTAATTAAAAAAATCGTATAATTCCAAATAGTATTTCGTGCACATACTATATTTGATTTGTAATGTATATTATGAACAGCATCACAATTATAACTAATGTATGTAATATGTATATATGTAAGAAGGACAAAAAGAAGTAATAGAAGATACACTGCAATCTTCACAGACCTTGAAACCAAATTGAAAAGTAACAAAATAATTGCATATTTATCTAGCTTTTATACAATCGGGACGATAAAAACAGTTCAAATCGATTTGCCTTAATAACACTTAGACCACAAAACAAGATGCCACTGGCGTATAACAGTCCCGTTAAATTGCGCTCTCGGGAAAT